CACACACACACACACACACACACGCTGAGAGATGCTAAATATAACCCACCATGTGTGATGCATCCCCTCTCTTCCTCTACCATAATAACAGAAGTATGTTCGTCACCTTGTAACTTATGTGTGTGTTTGATTAATCCGTGGGGATGAGTATCCAAGTGTCCTTTTTTCATCAGATTTTTTTTCATCAGCTGTAGCGTGGAATAAGAAAAAGACATAGTGAGCGAGGAAGTGAAAAGAAGATGTGAAAGAGGAGTGCTGAGATGTAGAAAACGTTCGGAAATGAATGGAGTTTAAAGGACTGAATGTAAAAGAGGAACAGAGAGAGTAGAGAGAGAGAGAAATGAAAGAGGGGACAAGAGGAAAGAGAGAAAGTTTGTAAAGCTGTCCTCATAAGAAGACATGGCCCTTTATTTATACGTATTCCACTTGAACTATGCCGATTGATGTTGTTGCTGGAACATTGCCAAGACCACACACACACACACACACACACACACACACACACACACACACGCACACATTAATAACCTCTATGTTTACTCCTTTGTTTGTATTACCTCTAAACCATTCGTTTGTGCGCTCACACGTATGTAATTTGGCTTCCTTACATTGCCATCCTTCATGTCAGCTGTGCGTGTGCTGGTGTCAGAACACGCACTCCTCTTCATGCCGTGATGAGCAAGGACAGTTAACATCCTTGGAAAGGCTTCGGATTTCTGAGAATGACAGAGCTGTGTGTCAGACAAAGGAATGCACAGCGTTGGCTGAACACTGTCCTGTGTTTGTGTGGTGGGTTGTACGATGTGCCAGTACTGGTTGTCTTGTCAGTGATTTATACAGTAACTTTGCACAACAATTTTATTAACCTGCTTTAGAAATACTGGATGTACTCTGCACGATGATGAGTTCATGTTGAGGTGATTATTGGTATGCCACACCAGGCTGGGTGTTTACATTACATTTATAGCTCAGAGTGAACCCATGTTGTCAGCTGTCAGACATGTCAGCTGTGTCAGTGGAGCTCATTTTTTATCCTGTAACCTTCGATAAATGTATTATTTATCACCAGAAAAGTCCAATATCGTGGCGATATTGAGACCATACAGCATCGCACAGTTGCTGTTTTTTTAATGCAACTAAAGGTGCTGATGCAGATTAACAAATGACACACTCCCTGTATATTGGCTTGATACTACTCTTGTAATATCATCATAATGTTCACATTATATACTTCTAATTAAGTTTTTCCTAGCAGACCTGCAAAGATTTTAACAAACCTAAAAATTAGATGTCTTGGACTTTGTTCAGAGGTTTAATGCCAGTTGCTCTGTAGTTTTAGCTTTAATAAAGTTCATAGGATTCCTTCTTCTTTTCAAGCTTCACTCTTAATATATATAATGTATTGATATGGACCTGTGAAGCCAATTAGGGATGAATTGCTGTACAAAACATTTTGGCTGTTTTTTAGTCTATCTTTGATCCAACAGCTCTCGAGGAAAACATATATAATAGAGGTTTTTTTTAAAACTTGCTTGATGCTGATTTCTCTTCTACTTTGTCTTTTACCTTGGACAAAAACAAACAAACAAACAAACAAAACCCCCCGAAAATTAACCAACTCTAAGCTTGAAATTGTGATATTTCCTCACAATCTTTTTATTATCAATCATCATTTATTAATTGTATTGATTTAATTTGCCCCAATTTTTTTTTGGTCTAACTAGATTTTGTAAAAATCTGAAAAAAAATCTGCGCTTGTCATCGCAACTATGAATCCATTAGTGACGCAGGTGTGACCAACAGTCATACAACAAAAAATCAGTGTTTTACAAAAATATAGAATCACACAAATTCTATTTTTTCCCCCTTTTTGTATGAATTATGTCATGACAGCTTTGTTACACTGCACAAAAGATAAGTTTTCTCTACTACATGTCGTGGTTATGCTGATTCCATTATATCACACTGAAAAATGAGCCCACAGTAAACAAAAATGTTAACAGGGTTAACAGTGTGACTTCCAGTGACTTCTGGTCATAAATCATTAGTCAATTTCTAAAAAAAAAAAATAGCTTCATTCTTAAAATGTTAAACTGTTGTGCAGAACTTCAGGTACAAATGGGGATGTCCTGAAAATTCGTGATGAACAACTTTGCAGTCTGACAAAACCGTAAAATGTAAAAACTCACACAGAATAAAATGTTTTTATTGCTTTGAATTAGAAAAATCAAGAATTATAAATCAACAGTGTAACTTAATGTTGTTGCTTTGTGTATAGTTGTTTCTCTCATGATGATTACTGTTTGCAGACCAGCATTAACCCGCCTTATTATTCATTAGTGTATTACTCAAAGTCTGTCAGTGTAAACATGCAGACTGTATTGTAGAAACCTGAGTCCATTCAGTGTGTATGTTCTGGTCTTTGCAGAGCTCAGGCTACATGGAGAAAATAGAATTCAGTTCCAAACCAGCTCCTCTACACAAAGCAGCCGAGCATCAGCAAAACACAAGGCTCCCACTGGCTCTAACTGGTGTCATGTTCACCTTCACACACACTCATGCGTACATACACACAAATGGGAAAGCAGTCTCCCGTAACACTCAAGCAAGTCACCCCGAACTATCTGAGCGATCAGACAGAAAGCGAAAAAAGAGGCAGAGAGAGCTGAGATGGAGCTACAGAGATTCCTAAATGTGCCCCCGAGGCAAGAAAGGATCACCTCCTAAAAACATTTTTCACTTGCTTATCCAAACACAGACACATACACACGGACACACACACACTCAGCCGGTGTCTTCACTTTGGACACTTTGGGTGTAGAAGAACAAGCGGTGTGTGGCCAAATGGCTGTTGGCAGCTCGGCCTTCGAGAAGACACATTTTAAGATGCTATCTTCATGAAAGGAAGGATTATGTGTGTTAGTGTGTGTGTGTCTGTGTGTGAGACTCAAGAGGCCCACAGTCTTTGAACATCTGTAAACACTGTGTGTGTGTGTGTGTGTATAGATGTGTGTGTCTGTTGAATGTGACCTTTTCTTTAACTCTATGTCTTGATCTCGTTACCAGGCATCATCTCATACACAGAGTACTTGTTCCTGCTCTGCATCCTGACAAGTGAGTCGATCTTCATCCTCCTTTCAATTCATTTCTTCTTCACTTAAAAATAAATAAATAAAATAAAATAATATTCTATTCTTATTTTATGTATATAAATATAAAGCTAGCTACGGCTACTCAAGAATTTTTTTTTTCAACTTTGTTTTTTTACAATTTTGGTGGTTTTCCTCTTCCCTTTGGGGTAAGAAAGAACTTTTTTTTTTTTTTTTTTAGCCTTTTAAACTTCAATCTAGGCATTAATGAGAAGCTTGTCACCAGTTACCAAATCACTGCCACTCAGTTACATCAGAGTGAAAATGTCACATATTTCCTCTTTAAGAAAGAAAGCATTTTGCATCCATGGCAGCCATTTACCATAATACCATTAATCAGGCAAATGGGAAGGGTTTATTCAGTGTAATTAACATTTGTTTAAAATTCAAACAGGAACTTCAAGAAAACTAATGACTTCATTTCTCACAAGAAAATTTATGACCACTTTCAAAAACTGTAATTAGTTTAAATAATAAATAATACTATTTTTTACGTACATGCTGTCTTGCTTGGCCTTCTTCATGGTTGATTCTGCTGTTGCTAAAATAAATATGTTAAAATCAGAAGACTTACTGAGGATAATGTATATAGACTGTTGTCTGTTACTTAAAAGGAGCAGTTCACTGTTCATTTCAGTATTTCTGTAATTCATGTTTTGTTTTTTCTTTAAATTTTTATCTTGACTGGTATAAACTTATACCCCAGTACAACCATAAAATATTCTACAGCTATGCAAAACCAAGCATGTAAAATGTAAAAAAAAAAATCTAATTTGTGTTTGACCACTGAGAAAATTTGAGAGTGCTACAGAAAAGTCAAAATCTTACTTGCATTATACAGTCTGCATAGATTCATCCTCTCAACCCTTCTCCCTCCTGTCCGTCCTATATGCCACTTTATCGGTTGCTATTTATAGATTTAAAATTGCCTTTACCAAACACATGCACACACACTCACCCTATGTGTTCTCCTCTCTGTTCACCAGAGCCTCACGCTGGCTTTAAGATTGCTTTCAATATGTTTGATGCAGACGGCAACCAGATGGTGGACAAGAGGGAGTTCATGGTGGTGAGTCACTGATACCGAGAGAAAATCCATCTGAATTCACATGTTCATATTAACGTCACTTTTTCCTCCTATCACAACAAAGGAGCGCTGCACGGGACGTTAAATATGCCGACGGTCGGTGTAAAGTCAGCACTCCTGATTGTTCCATTTGAAAATTGCAATAATGGGAGTTTTTTTTGGTGAAAAGCAGTTTGAGATCTGAGAGTTTTCACATTTGGAAATATGACGGGCTGCTATTAAAGGCTTTAACCATTTAAATATTAGTAATGTTCCAATAGGTTTTTCTTGTCCACATATGATCTACAATCTCTAATACTTCACGGCTCTCACAGTTGTCATTTCAATGTCTGGTATATACTGTAGATACTATTTCTACCAACCTTTTATTTACGTGAAGCTGTTTTTATCAAGTTAAATGCATTTCAAAAAGATGATTTTGAGTCCACGTCTTCCAAAGATGCCTTATTAAAGCACCGAGCAGCCCTAACTGCAGCATTTCTCGAGGGATACACATGTGTTACCTTCCCTGCGGGATGGGAGCGACAGATTTTCAGCTGAAACACTGCTACAGGCAGGAAGGGATCAGAATCTCTGTGGAGGCTGGTGGGAGTGGGATGGCAACATCAGCAGGAGGGAGTAGTAATGGTTTAAAATCCTTGGGGAGCAGGCAGGTGTGGGACGGAAAAAGAATTTGCACATTGAGGGCTTGGCAGTAGATGCTGATTTTCCTGCTTCCCTAACAAATGACATTAGTCGTCAGATAAAAGGAATGTATATTTTAAAAACACTACAAATGAACAGTGTCAGTCACTGCTATGATTACAGCTCTTCCAATGTTCCTAGAGATCCCTTTTAATTGATTACTGTGCTTCAGGTTGCAGTTTTCGCTAATGATTCCTATTAATATTAAAAATCTAATTATGTGTATGTGATATAAAGCAGCTGATACTTTCCTGGATCACTGCACTGCAAACAAAATGGAAAACAACTACCTCCTACCTAATACTGACTGTAGTGCAGCTGCAGTTTTCTGCTATATTAGATTCAGCATTGGCCCTTTAATATCTGCGAACATAAATCAGCTCCAAAGTTAAATTAGAAAACCAACACTCTCTTAATCATGTTGCCAAAATACAAGCACTTGACACTGACATCACAGACCTGCATGAAAGTGGGATGACCTCGTGAACTCGGTGAATGTTTGTACATGTGAGCGCTTAAGCTTCTGACGGCGCTTCAGATCTGGCTTTGAATTGTCAATGAGATCCTCGTCCTTTCTCTCATTACAGCTGCAGGAGATCTTCCGGAAGAAAAATGAGAAGAAAGGAAGGAAAGGAGATGCTGAGAAGTCAGCGCAGTTGGTAAGAAAGTCGGTAACGGTGGACGAGGGTGAATGGTGGTGAGAGGACGGACGGATGCTCTTCTGTGGAATTGCTGTTTAACCTTAGTACTGCCAGCAGGGAAACAACCACGGATAGTGTGTACGCGACTATGGACTCGCTGCGGTCATCAGTGGGGTAAACTTGAAATAAAAAGATCCAAAACATCCTGAATTTGTAGTAAAAAGTAAACATTGCAGTAGAGTTACTTCCCTCTTAAATGCCATTTTAACACATCCGTAAAAGTAAAGTGCCACAACACCTCTTGCCACTTTTTGCGGCGTTGTGTCAAACTGTACATGTGGATGTTTTGAAAATGACACATCATCATCCCAGTTAGTTGTCATCTGTACTTAAGCAGGTATGAAAGTTACCGAAACCTTTCATGTAACTGGTTTTAAGTGCATGCTGCCTCATAGAAACTGTTTTTGACCAAGTGGTATCTCCTGTGTTTTTACTGTGACGGTTATCCCTACTGTGTACTTGTTATACTTGATACACTCTCAAAAAAAATGTGTCTTTCTCAGCACTTCTGTGATTCAGCTTTAGAAACAACAATGGCCACTTTGCTTTACAACACTGCTCCATGTTTTATCTCAATAACTAGAGTCTTGATGAGTGCAGGTTTAAGCTGCAAGTGGGTCAACATTGGCGTAGTGCAGATATATTGGTCGTGGGATATATGCTGTCCTATAGGTACAAAAAAATGCGTTAGTAGAGAAATTGATAGCATATGTTTAAGATATTTTAAAGACAGTGAAGCCATTACATAGCTGGTGCACCAGAGATTTTATTTTTCAACTGCGAAATTTTACATATTTTGGTCACAGTTTAGAAAAATCTGAGCTCCCCTCATCATAAGTGTTTGCTTTTGTTATCAACTAAAAAAACTAAATCTACAAACCCAGGTTTACTTGCTCTGTCAGAAATATATATATTCTGCTCTTATCAAAATCTATATAAAATATATATAATACTTAAGACATGAACTACTGTCTCTTAGGTAATAGGAGCCGTTCACTGTTTTTTCAGTATTTCTGCAGCTCATTTCTGTATGTATGTTTTATTTTTTTTCTTGTGAATTGCATCTCTACTGCTATAAATGTGCCTCCTATACAACTACAAAGTGTTCTATAGCTATGCAAGCTCTAACACATTGATTTTTTTTAAAGTGTTTATCAAGACCTGCCAGTATTTTTTGAGGCATCATATTACTAACTTATAAAATGTTACAGTTGCCTTTTATGGTTAAGTGGTAAATAGTTTGACATTTGTTGCTTTAAGCACTTGATGTCTTGCAGATTTCGGGTCAAGAGATACTATTGATAACATTTATAGATTAATACAGGATAAATCTGAAAGAGGGAATGCTTCCTTCTTATGCAGCCTTCCACATATCATCTCTGCACAGTGTCGTAAAGCAAAGTGTGCATTCTAAAATGTAATCATAGATGAGTTGAAAATGACACATCCTCTTTCCTTGCATGTACTAACATGTCTTTTACCTTCTCTCCTCCTCCTCCTCTCTGACTGCATGCTCTGTCCTCTTCTTTCTCTTCCTCATGTCTCTCTCTGTGTGTTAGAGTATGCAGCTGTATGGATATCAGGTTGCCCCCATGAACAGCGTATGTATCCAAACCATAACGCCATAGTCTCCTCCACTGCTCTTTTGATAGATTAAGAAACTGATCAAACGATGAACAGATGAGCAGAGAAATGGCTGTTTCTGTCAGCTGGGTTGCTACTGGCTATGCTTTTACAATTTTGCTGGATAACGAATCAGAATAGCAAACATGATGGGAAATTTGACCTGCTAGAAAAAAGCAGGTTATGTAGTGATACTGTACAAACATTTGAGAATACAGTTGTGATTCGATAATCCGACACCAAATGTAAAAGCTTCTTTTATGTTGGATAGCAAGGCTGTCGGATTGTCAAGAGGGGAGGTCGAGATACAAGGAGGGCTTGATGCTTGAATGGTGATTTGTTGTTAATTATTGGTCATAGTTGTTATAATAACTAGTAGGGCTGGTCCAAATATCACTTTCTGGTCTCTGGATTTTCAGGCCCAATTAATGATGAATATCCGAATGTAGCGCTCCTTCGGGGTGGAAGTGGCCAAAACGCACAAGCAGTACTTGGATGCTGATGCCAGTTTAGGATAGCGGTCACACTTCTGTTTCCACCATCGGTGGTGGCAGCGGCGGCGCCACCATCCGTGTTTACTTCCATAAACACTGAGCACGCTCGCTGCATGTGACGTCATCGTGTCCTCTTCTGCACATGCAGGACACTTTTGGGTCGTATGAAGTTCACTCAGCAGATCACATACAAGTTCAATTAATTGGAAATGTGAACGAACTCGCAAAAAAATCAGATTTCACAAAAAATCAGAATTGAGCATTAAGTCCTACAGTCTGAACGTAGCCAATCTGTCAGATTGTTCAGTCAGATAATACGCCGTTATCCTTATTGGTGACATAAAATGTCACGTCGGAGTCGGAATCCAAGGCTGTCGGTATGTTAAGACTATTTTTCTTGGGTTCCGTTCGTTTTTCCTAAAAACCTGTCGGATAGCAAGGTTTTCGGATTGTTAACGGTCAGATTATCAAGTCACAACTGTATATCTAACTACTTCTGAACAATTTCCTTGAGATGTGCAGCAACATATAGTAAAGTGAACAGTTCAAAGCTTTTTGAAATACGTTTATTCACTTTCTTGCAAAGAGTTAGATGAGAAGATTAACCTGATTTCCTATCTGACTGTTAAATATAAATTTCCAGAAGCCTCTTAGCAGGAAAACGACTACCCTCACTCTGTCCAGAGGTAACTAAATCAGCCAAGCAGGACCTTAAAATGTCACAGATTCATAGACTGTGTCTTGTATGTGTAATGTATAAAAAAAATAAAATAATGATTTCTAGGTTTTTACTGACCGTTATGCACCAGATTGTTTCTCGGCCAATTGTAGAGACTCACCTTCACCGCAGTTGAGCACTTAACAGTTTCCCCCTGTTTACAGTCTTTATTCTAGGCTAAACTAACTATGTGGCTCCATATTTAATGCTGATAAACGAGAGTGGTAATGATCTTCACAGCTAACTCATGACAAGAAGGCAAATAGATATATTTCCCATTCACAGTTTTCACTCAAAAATATGGTTCGTCACTTAAATTGCAGTTTTTGGACAGAGACGAGATAAAGCAGCGACTGAAGAGGGACGTATGAGGTGTAGGTTTCTATAACAGAAAGGATTTTTTGCACTCATAAACAAACATAAATGGCATTGTTTTATTTGTAAAATGTTTGTTTAGATCTTTCTCTATTGGATTCTGGGAGCTCTGGCAGTTTTCAGTGATGTTAAATATATCAGGCCACTTTGTAGTTTGTTATAAAGGACAGAGTTTAATCCGTTTGTGTCCTGACTTGGTCTTTGAAAAAGCATCAAGCCTGCCCCAGTCTACCTGACCTTCTAGTGACAGTAAAAATGCACTCTGTAGGCTCCTTGAAAGGACGCATGGCAAAGACGGAAAGAGAGAGCGATAGAGAAAGACTGGAGACAGGGTGTCCATCTGTCAGGTCAGCTGATTGATCGAGAGATGATGGCTGGGGGTTGGATGAATGGACACAGGAATGGTAGAAAAGGAGTAATAGATTTAAGGGGTCAGGAGAGATGAACTCTTACAAAAAGAGAGTGATGTAATTTAGAACGACTTGGGACACACTAAAGCTTTAAACACAATCAGACCGTTTTAGGACACGTGCTGTTTGTTTGGGAGATCGTGTGTGATCCTGTTTGGGGGAGGTTTGTTAATACAAAGACAGAGCTGGAGATTTTTTTATTGGAAGGAGGCCTTGGGTACAGACACAAAGTTGTTTCTATTGTCTGAGCACAGTCACATTTCCATTATAAAGAACGCAAACAGGTTACGTTCGTCTGCTGAGTGGTATGCCAACCAGAATTAAATTGTTAATCATATATAAGGCAAAGAATAAGGATAATACTTCATATTATGCTGTAAATATTTAGCACTTTTCCTGATTTTATTTGCCCCTAAATTCCCTTATCATATAATGACAATCAGCATCGATGTCTGCCGAGCTTGAGTTGTAACCGTAGAAGTAATTTCATCTCAAATCGTCAAATTCTCAGAACAATTTCTACACGACCATCTCTGGTTTGCCTAAAATGTTTACAGCAAAACTTACACATATATATATAAAGATATTGGTGATGATGTGTTAAATGCTTGCTGATTTTTTCAAATTTTTTTTTAGTTGTTATTCGATTCACTCTCAGCATTAATATTTGAGGCTATGTTTGAAGGACCATTTCAAAATAAAAGCCCCAAATTTGTTTATTTATTATCATGCCGTTGATTCAGAATCTGCAATATTAGACAAGAAGATCAAATAACTTCTGATTATGGGCGAGTTAAAATATGAAAAAATTGAAGAAAAGTTTAAGTTATATCGTATTTTTATTTCAGACCCCACTTTGTCGGCATAACCCTTAATTTGGTGGAGACTTGTCATGCAGTTTTCTGTCATTTCTTTGGGAATTATCACTGCATTAGGCAATTAGGATGACATTAGTATAA